ATTGTAGAATATCAATACCAACCCACTTATCCACCTGACGTGGTGTTGACGGAAGACTTGCAAGGTCGAGTGTCCAGATTTGGGGGTGGATTTTTAATGAAGAGAGGAGACTTTACAACGAGATCTTTGGGTTTTCCAACATACAAGTTGAATTACAAAGCGATTGACTTTGAAATGGAATGAGAAACAAGGATGGGTGACCGATCCATTATACATGGTGCATTGTTTTATACGACAGTTTACGTAAATTGCATATTGCTTTCGGTCGCTGTTCTAACGGGGAGATGGATATTTTTACTATTGATTTTGCTGACAATCGGTTTGACTGCTTACATGATGTACATGACGTCACACAATGACGAGCACTTGAAATCGGTGGGAAGGTGGGTGGAAAATGTATTTGCGCAAGGAATGCAAAAGGTGAAAGAAATGATTCCGGCATAGTACGAGTCTTGATGATCTCAGACTCGTCAGAAACTTTTGGTTGCATGAATAGCAGGTCAGGTAGCAGGAACAGGACATTCAGCTGTGACTGGGGATACGACACTTCAGATTGCGGTACGGACTGGGATTACGACTCTTCAGGTTGCGGTACGGACTGTGGAGGGAAGGACTGTGGATGCTGTGGTGGTGAAACAGACTATGGAGAAAGCTTTTCAGATGGCAGTATAGACTCGAAAACATCTTCAGATGGCAGTATATACTCGAAAACATCTTCAGATGGCAATATAGACTCGAAAAGAAANTTTTTTTTTTTTTTTATGTTAAAAGTCAAACGTCAAGTCTTGATCATCTCAGACTCGTCAGAAATTTTTGGAGCTGTCGCAACTTTAGAATTTGTTGAAGGTCCCAACTTTAGAATTCAAACGTTGAGCCTTGATGGTCTCAGACTCGTCAGAATTTCTTGAAGCCCTCAACTCGCAACTTTAGAATTTCTTGGAACTCGCAACTCGCAACTGTAGAATTTCTTGGAACTCACAACTGTAGAATTTCTTGGAACTCGCAACTGTAGAATTTCTTGGAATTAGCAACTTTTGAATTTGTTGAAGGTCTCAACACTCTACTAGAGAAACAACCTATTGAAGCAAGTCATCCCATTCGCCATTTAAAATGGAATTGTTATTNTTAGCAACTTTTGAATTTGTTGAAGGTCTCAACACTATACTAGAGAAACAACTTATTGAAGCAAGTCATTCCATTCGCCATTTAAAATGGAATTGTTATTCTCTGATGAAACATCTAGTAAGTGGTTGAAAAGAAAACAGCGGCGTGATTGTTGCAAACAACCAGATTTCAACACTACCTTACGTCAAGATCGCGCTATAGATGAACCGCCGAGTTTATATCGCGTTTGTAAGAATTGCGGCTTTAGTATAAAAGTAAAAGCGTAAACATAACGATTTAAAAAAAAAAAAAAAAAAAAAAAAAAAAAAAAAAAAAAAAANTTTTTTTTTTTTTTTTTTTTTTTTTTTTTTTTTTTTTTTTTTTTTTTTTTTTTATAGTTGTGTATTTAAGCCCCGCTTTGAGTATCGATGCTAAAACATTGGATTAAAATAAAGGTTATACATGGATCCTTCACACACGTCTGAAGAAATTTTGCAAACGACTTTTGCTGGGCTGGAAACATATCTACAAAACACTTTGGATCCCGATTCATTTCAATCGTTCCTCAATCAAAGGAAAACCCTCTTTCCCACTTGGAATCACTTGTGGGAAAGACTCAAATTTTTTCTCGTCAATCATTCATTGAGTCGCCGGGATGATACAATTTCCAGTTTAGCCCATATGCTGTCAGCGGATGAATCTTTTCATAGAAATATACTAAACTCTTTGACTTTCCACGAAACGCTTTGGAATCAAGTGTATTTGAATTTGCTTTTGCAGCAAAGGAGCGAATACAATGTTGAGCGTATCCATTTTGGAACCTTTTGGAATTTTATCCCTTGCGAGCGGTTTACTGTATTCTATTGGTGTTTTGACATTGCAGACTCATGAAACTACATTTCGGTTGCATTTCATCGTGCTCACATTGATTATTTTTCTAGCACTCGTGTCAATCACCATGTTTAAATATTTGAAATATCGGTATACATGCGAGAAAATGGATGATATTGTAGCGTCTATGAAAATACGATAGCTAAATTTAAATCATCTCTGTAAAACTGAACAACATCACCCTCTTTCCATCCAAACAGCTGAAAATATCCTAAAGGTATGGAAATGCAATCAGGACTAGCCTCTTTTCGTCGATAACGAACATTTTGCATGGTGGTTAAAAACATTCTGTAAGACAAATCAAATCTTTCGGAAAATGCTTGGCCATCCTCATATTCCACGCATACTGTATTTGAATTGAATCCAATACTACGTATAGGTTTTGTTGCGAGGTTTCTGATGACGCTAGCGTAAAATTCCATGATTTAAACAAGACGATGGAAACCCTGGATATAGATCAAATTTCTAAGAATCTTATAACCAAAAACATTATCTTTCAAAAGATTTTCAACGAGAATCTCGAGTATGCCAATATGCAACCGCAAGAAATTGAGGTGGCGGCAGCAGAGTTTAAAAGATTATATCCAGCTGTATTAAATGGAAATTATAAAATGTTTCACAACATGTGGTATGCGCAAAAGATGCAAGGGGAATTGTATTCCGTAGAGGAGTCACAATCGGAAAATTTTGGATCAGCTTGTTCACAAAATATATATGATGCTATAAAACGCAGGTATCTAACTCCAAAAGTTGTGCAAAATGGCAGGCGTAAAAAAGTTGAAAAGTTTGACTTGTTTGGATTTATTTCGAAAAAACGAGCCAACCAAAGCTTTCACGAACTGGTGTTTGAAGATAATGAATACATAGGTGATATCTTGGAAGAAGTGCTACAACACACTCAAAGAGAAAATGAACTCTTGGACGGTATTGCAGAGATCGCGTCGGCATTAAACAATTGCAGCACGTACAAGATTTTAAATCTACACCCAGTGCAAAGCGTTAAATAGAATTTAAAAAAAAAAAAAAAAAAAAAATTTTTTTTTTTTTTAAAGAAAGGTATCAGAAATTTTCAAACCTCTCACAACTTGATAAAGAATGATTTCGATTAATGCAGACGATTTCCATAACAGATGGTCTTACCCCGACGAAAATGACTCGGTTGAATTATATTACGAACGTTCTCCTTATGGCGTCGAAACCGACTTGGACTTCGTTTTCTTACCCCTGCTTGACAGACTCCTTACCGCGAAGCAATTTACATCATATCCGATGACATTACCTGTGGAGAGAATCTTTCCAGGAATAAATGCTGTAATAATGTATAAATTAACGAAAAGTAACAAGAAAAGATGTGAGTATCGGAGTTACACACAAAGCTACTGGAATATTTTTTTTGAAAACTTGAGAAAAATTTCTAAAGGTTTGGTTTCGATTATCTGGAAATGTAATTCTTTACATGAGATTAAAAACGTGTTGGTCGAAAATTTGAAAGCGGATTGTTCAATTTGCTTAGATACCATTAAACCATACGAGGTTGTAAATGAAACTGGATGCAAACAAATCTTTCATAAGACTTGCTTACAAAATTGGATGTTGATAAAAAACTCTTGTCCAATTTGCCGAAAAAGATTAAAAAAACTATAAAAAAAAAAAAAAAAAAAAAAGAANTTGTCCCGTCCGACATGTTAGTTTGGGATCTACTCGCAAGATTTTACCCTATTTTGAATCGCGATTGCATTCTGGAAAACTGGATTCTCCCACCAAACCCTTTTACAAGGTGTTTGTCAAAAATGTTTCGGTGGCTGATGTGGGAAGGCTCTTGTCCAAGTACAAATTGAGTTATTACGAAAAAGATGATTGGTTGGTTCGGCTGTACATTGATCTTTGCTTCAAATACAATTCTACCGGATTTTTTTACAAATGGTACACCGTGTCTCATCAGTCTGAGTGGTTATTGGAATCGTTTCAGATGCATCCGGAACAAACACAGTCTCCCGATTGGACCATTGGAGCGTTTGATTTGGAAACGGTGCCGATGGACGGGACCGATCATATTCCAAACGGAATGGACCCATCGGACGAAATTGTCATGATTAGCTTGTACAAATGGAATAAGCGGGACGGTGTGCGCAAATGGCTATTGTATCGTTTGCCTTGTGAGATGGAGGGCCTTTCCATGGAAGACACAATCGCCTACACCTCCGAACGACACATGCTGAACGATTTTCACGTGTTTATTCAAGACTGTCACGTTTTAACGGGTTACAACATTACTGGATTTGACATTCCGTGTGTGTTTGCACGCTTGCTGTGGCTAAAAATGTACAAAATCTTGAAACTGTACACTTCCCAACTCGTGGGCACGACCACCGTAGCCACGTTTCAAAACAAGTTGGTGTTGGATTTGTATCAGTATTTTCTCGTCTTTTCAAAATACGATTTACCAGGTTTGAAATTGGATGATGTGGCGCGAGCAAAGCTCGGTGAAACCAAAGTACCCATCCATTCAACGGGTCTTTGGTCTTGGTATACCCATCCCAATGTGACTCCTTCCCTCGTTCTCTCCAATCAGGCGGAGGAGTGTTTCAAAATTTTACAACCGGGTCGTTTGCTCCAGCATCAATTTGGAACGTGTTGTCGAGGTGGATAAAGCATTGTTTAATCGACTTCGTCTGTTGCTTTCAACCAACACAAACCTGGAATTTCAAAAGAATCATTTGGAGCAAGGACTTTTGCAGATGAACGAGAGATTGAAAATGTTAAACGTTGAAATTTTGAGAGTTGTAGGTCTCTTGACAAAAGAGCCTGATGCATAAAATTGGTTAGCTCCTAAAATCAGTAGCTCCTAAAAAAAAAAACAGGCACACCTCGACTTAAATAACAGAAAAAAAAAAAAAAAAAAAAAAAAAAAAAAAAAAAAAAAAAAAAAAAAAAAAAAAAAAAAAAAAAAATTTTTTTTTTTTTTTTTTTTTTTTTTTTTTTTTTTTTTTTTTTTTTTTTTTTTTTTTTTTTTTTTTTTTTGATTCTGTTATTTAAGTTGAGGTGTGCCTGTATAGAAAGATCAATTCAGATCTGCCTGTATAGAAAGATGAATTCGTCCCTGATTGAAAGCTCTGCAACCATGTGGATAAGATTGTATAAGGATCACTCTTCATCTCCCATGTCATGTGTTGTGGGAAAGGATGGAATTCTTTATTGGCGAGTGGTAGATGTTGGTTTTCTGTGTCAAATGAGCAAACCCTACGATTTGCAAAGGTCTAGTTACGTCATCACCANCAGACTACTACATTAACGTTGTATTTGCAACCCAATGGGAATACTATAATGACGGAGATTTTTTACCAACAAAGATTCCTTGGGAAATTACCTTTAGCAACAAACTCAATCCCAAAGAAACATTTGTCATGATTCCATCTCCTCAATCCGTCAAGACTATGGGTTTGGTTTACCTATATGATTCTGATGAATCGTTTGCTCCAAGATATTACGAGAATGTGGAATATGTTCAAGTTAATTTGGGTCAAATACACTCGTTTCTGACCCAGCTGGCCGCTAGAAAAATATCTGAAACAGATTCATGGATCGCTAAAATTTTGCATTCTTGGGATTTACCATCTAAAACCATCGGGGTTATACACGAGGGTACCTTTATGTTTTTAAAAAAATACTTTTCAAACGTTGTGCTTCTACCCAATCTTGATGATCCGGAAAATTTTAGTGTAGATGATTGCGACGTGCCAAGTGAATTCGGAGACGAGAAATTTGTAGAAAATCTTATGGAGCTTCTGGAGAAACAGGAGACACCCAAAGCAAAACCACCCGCTTTGGCACGAATTGGAAGAAGAAAAACTCGAAACGGATCGATTCGAAAAAGTAAACGACTGTTGAAATTGAAACAAAAGTTGAGCCGTTGTTCAATAGTGTAAAAAAAAAAAAAAAAAAAAAAAAAAAAAAAAAAAAAAAAAAAAAAAAAAAAAAAAAAAAAAAAAAAAAAAAATTTTTTTTTTTTTTTTTTTTTTTTTTTTTTTTTTTTTTTTTTTTTTTTTTTTTTTTTTTTTTTTTTTTTTTTTTTCGTATGGATGTATAAAGCGTTGCCTATCAACGATGATAAAGTCAGTTCTTCAAGAAATCATTCACCGAGTCAAATGCCAAATCTAACCCAGCTTGTTAAACAGTTTCAAAATCTATGAGACATTTCAATGGTTCGAAATCATCTATAGGATCAAGCTTGTTGAGTCATTGCACAACTCTTACCCAGAAATTTCTACCCAAAACAATTCAAGATAGATTGCGCCAAGCTTGATTCCTGTGTGCGAAAAACCTTTTGGAAGCAAAACACCCCCTGACGTCATCTGTTAAATAGACTCGCCCACTAAACGGATGCACATCCTGCTTTTCGGCTATAAAAGCAGAGGCACCGCGAGAGAAACTTCACTTTCGATTCAAGAGATCGAAAAGCCTTTCAACTCGTGTCAAACCATGGATGTGTTTCCGAATACCCTGAGCTCTTTACTCCGTTCTCTTAGCCTGGAGGATAACTNCAGCGTACCCGATACAGGGAATGCCAAGAGCAGTTAACCGAACTAACAGGGAGTCCATTACCATACACCATAGGATAGGGGACAAAACCCCTCCCTGGGGGCATCCGGCAGTTGCATGCACTTTCATGCTTGCATCCAATAGAGAGGAACAAACATACCTAGAGGAAAGGTAGTCCGTAAGCTCGTCAAAGGTAGTCCGTAAGCTCGTCAAAAACCCACACAGAAACAACTTGAAAAATTCAGACCAACGGCTTGGATTCCAAATGGACAATATGTTCATCGTAAAATTTGGATTTACATTTGGAAGCACGTCTACCAGACCTCAGACGCACCCCTCCAACTGTACGTGCTCTCCAGTCGGGACCAAAAGCCTTGAACGGTGCCAAGGAGCTTGAAGCCAACGGACCAATTCAAATATGACCTCTTTGTGTTTCAGCCATGGAAACGCTATAGTATACCAGAAAATGTCGGGTATGTGATGATGACGGTGCAGAAAACAATCTTCACCTTGGACATTGTCCAGAGCGACTGCCCGGTGCCGGAGGGATGTGATTACCGAGACCACCAGGAATTTGAGCACCAGCGTAATAAATTGCCTCCTCCCACGCCCTTGCACATGCTGGAGGAGGCACCTCCGGCAAAGAGATCTCGATTGGGTCCGCCAGCTGAAAAGACTCGAATGAATCCGCCGCCACCACCTCCGGTGTTTCATCCCCAGCCAATGGAACCCTTAGCATCCATAGAGCCCATCAGTTGGCCACCTGCGCCAAAAGTCACGATGCCTGATCCACCAGCGCCAGAATTCACGATGCCTGGTCCACCTGCGCCAGAATCCTCCCTCCCTGGGTGCGAGTCAAACGGATGAAGCGCCTCTGATGGAAGATTTCTACCAGCCAGACGTAGAGGATAATCTCTTTGACCAAATGATGCTCAACTTGGAGAAAAAAAAACCCAAACGACTACAGCGACGTCTTAAAGGATTTACAAGAAACTTGCGATGCGTATGAATGGCCCACGGCACGAGACATGCCAACGCTGGACAATCTAGTGCCTGCGACACAATCGACGCCAGAGACGTGCCAGGAAGACGATCCAGACGTGCCTCTGGATTTAACAACAAGCAGAAGGACTGTATCCTGCAGCAATCGGTCAGCGATCAAGTTTATCGAGCCTTTAAACTTGAGCATAATGTAACTGGAACATATTTAAATGAGTTAGTTTTTAAATGGTGTAGAGTGATAAAAAAAAGCCTTTCAACCATGATAAAGTCAGTTCTTCAAGAAATCATCCATTGAGTAAAATGTCAAATTTAACCTAGCTTGTTAAACAGTTTCAAAATGAGACATTTCAATGGATCGAAATCATCTATAGGATCAAGCTTGTTGAGTCATTGCACAAGTCCTGCCAAGAAATTTCTACCCAAAACAATCCAAGATCGATTGCGTCAAGCTTGCTTCCCGAGTGTGAAAAGCCCTTTGGAAGCAAAACACTTTTTTTTTTTTTTTTTTTTTTTAACGTTTAAGACAAGCCTCGAGTCTTTGCAAACATCAAAATCAAGTTCTACCCTTCCAAAGATTGTTCTACTTCTCCAGCCGCGACCATGAATAATCTTAGAAATAGTGTTGCAACGCTCGAGTCAGAAAGCTTTGTCAATGAGCAGGAGTATACCACTTCTACATGGCTGCTTTATAAGGAAGTGACTCTAAGTCAAAACAACCCACATTTAACACATGAGACTCTGGTGATTCGCATTTTAAAAAGATTGACAGAAGAAAATTTCAAATTGTCATGGACCGCGATACAAGAATCCATCAAGCAGGGGCAATGTTTGATGGATGCCGAATTGCATAAAATGTTGCAAGATCTTTGGAAACAACGAAAAAAGACTCAGAATGCTGAAGACCAACATTGCGTTGAACGAGTGCTGGGAAGAGATTATGTTAGGTTAACAGATTTGTCAAGGATAGCAACCTGCTTCAATCGCTTCGTCGAGGACAAGAGGCAGTTGTGGATATTTTTTGCCGTCGACGGATTCTTGGGAAATGATTTAAAATCATATGTGGATGCCTTTAAATTTGGACCTGATGACATCAAAGGGAAGCATATAAGAGCGGTTCGGCAATTGTATCAAGATTTTGATGGCATTGCTACTCCGAAAGATATGAAAGAGGTTTTGGAGGGTGTATTCCAAGGGAAGGGAAGTATATATTCAAATTTTTACTTGGAGCAAATTGGAAAAAATGTCGCAGATGTCGCAAGCTGGCGTTTGGATTTACATGAGAAATGGAAAAAGAAAAAGGGAGCAGCCGAGGGAGGAGAATGCAGCAACAAGCGACCTGGAGACGCTGGAGAAAAAACCCACCACAAAAAAATTAAACAGAAAAAGACGACGTAATAAAAAAAAAAAAAAAAAAAAAAAAAAAAAAAAAAAAAAA